TCCCAGGACTGCCTCCCGCCCGTCCGGGGTCCCACCGGGCCTTCCCCAGACCCTCTCCGCGCCCTCCGGAGGGACTGCTCTCAGCCCTGCCCCTCCCTCCCTGCCCGACTCCCTGTTTTCCCTTCCAACGCCTCTCCCCGCAGGGCTGCCCTGAGCCCTGCCCTCTCCCCAGGGGACCCCCCTTCCCCTGGGAGCGAGCGTCCCTCTCCCCCTGGCTGCCATTTACCCAGGGCTCCTCCTTCTCCTTGCTAGGAGCCCCCCTCCTTTCCCAGGGATATTGTCCTCCCAAGACGGCTCTGGACTCCCCAGCTCTAGACTCAGCGCCCCGGCAAACACCCATCCCTGGGCTCTCCATACCGGCCTTGTCCCCTAGCCCAGAAGAAGCCAAGTTTGAGGCCCCCCCTGAGAGTGTGGGCACTTGCACGTTCTCATAGGTGAGCTCCCCGTCATCGTCAGCCTCTGGGTCTGTAGAAGAGAGAAAAGGGGCGGAGGTGGGAGCTGGGAATGGGGGCTGAGGGGTGGGCGGGGTGGGGTCAGGAAAGAGGTTGGGGATGCAGGATCCAGGAGACCCCTCCTCTGCCCTTACCCTGTCCTGGCTGGCTGGAGACCCTCTTCTTCAGGGGAGCCTTCACGAACCGCAGGTCTGCGTAGGTGACAGACTCGGCCATGGTCCTGGCACCTCTGGGCCGGGCTCCCCTTCTCCCCCTCCTCTTGCCGCTCTCCCCTCTGTCCCTTCACACTCTGAGGCTCTGTGGTCCCTCCGTGACTGTACGGCTTAGTGCATTGCCCTGTGACTTCTAGTCACAAAAGAGGAAGATGTGAGCAAGTCTCAGACAGATGGGTTCAGTGAAGCAGATGGCATCCTGAGCCCTGGCCAGAGGGGCCGGGAGGGGAAACCAAGGCCCAGAGCTCGGGGCTGGGCTGGGGGGTCACAGGACCACTCTCGGGCCGCCCCTGCACCTCTCTCTGTCCCACCTTCATGTAGCCCAGACGGCCTGGGCAGTGCAGGGCTTCCAGTGCCTCCTTTGATCCTCCCCCCAGATGTGGCCATGCCTCCCTCCTGGCTGCCGTGGCCATAGGCTTCCTCTGTGTAGTCAGAGCTCTTTTGTTCCCAACTGACCTGGAGGCTCTCCCCAGTCCTTGCTCCCGGGTGGGGCTTCATCCTCCCCATCAGATTGGGGGGCGGGGTGTAGTGTGGAGCCCTAGCTCGTCATCCTGGGGTTCCCGGTAGGTGTCCGTTCCCGGAAAGGAGTCTCTGACTTTTTGGACTCATCTCTCCCCATCAGTTTGGGGACTTCCAGGGTGGACCCAGCTCCCCTCTTGCTGTCGGTCCACAGAGCACAGGGCGTCTCACTCCAAAGCCCTTGCTGGGAACGGCAGTCTTTGGAGGATGCAGAGAATCTGGGACCACACTTTCTCCTCTGTGACACCCCCAGACTCCACAGCCTTTCCCTGACCCCTTCCACCCTTATTGCCCCACTGATCACACCCGTGGCAAGTCAGCCCCTTCTGGGCCCCCTCCTGCCCCCTGCTGGACCCATGGCATCTCCTGTGTCCCAACATCTGAGCTGGATCCATCCAGCTGTCCCTGAGGCAAGGGCTCTGAGCTGGGACTGGGCGGGGCTGAGGATGAGGGCAACCCCACCTTGTGCACCCCTGGAAAAGCCTGCAGCGCTAACCACTCATGCACCCTGTGGGGGTCAGGGAGCAGAGAGCAAAGGAGTTGCATAGGCCCGGAGGGCTGCAGCTTGTTAGACACGGGAGGCAAAGAAAAGAAGCAGAGCAGACTCTGGTCTGGTGAGATTTCGATATTTTCTTGCCTTGGTTTTGGTTTCTTTCTTACTTTACTAGTAATTTCTTCCTTTAGAAAGTCCCAGCATTGTCCCTTCACACCCATCCTCGAGGAAAAAGGGGCATTTACGGGGAAGACCAGGGGCTGATGGGCGCGAGGGACACCAGGGGAAGCAGGAGGCGGCTGATGAGCTATGGTTCAAAGGTGCTCCCTGGTTCTCCTTTACGGTTGTGACTTAGACTGTGACCCCCAAAGGGCCTACTTACGGGGGTGGGAAGCAGTTGGGACAAGACAAGGTAGGGGTGGGGAAAACCCACCCCTCGTGGGTGACATCCGCCCCCTCAGAAACACCCCCCTGCAGCTGCGGGAGGAAAGGGGAAGGAGCGAGTTCCTCACCGCCGGCTCACAGCCTGTAGTGTGGTCAGTGGTGTGTGGAGGAGCTGTGATGGGCCTGTGGGTCTGGGGAGAGCTCTGACAGCGGCACCCAGCCTGCCCAGACGGTGCCCACTGAGGCAGACGTGCACATTTGCCACCTGAGGAATGTGTCTCAGGGAGAGGCAGGTGTGTGTGTGTGAGTGTCTATGAGTGTGTGTGAGTGCAGGCACACAACCCCGGCTCTTTGTGGTCTCTTAGGGATGTCTGTGCCAGGTGAGCATCTAAGCCGCCGGATTACGTGCGCGGGCCGGCGGGGAGGGGTGTCTGCGGGCTCACGGGTGCCTGTGCTGCTGTTATTTTCTTCCACAGCAGGGAATTCTCAGAGAAGTCTTAAGAGGTCGTGGGGACAGATTCTACAAATACTTCCTTTTTAAGACTCACTGTTTCCTAGGGTGTCCCTGCAGCTGTTAACTGTCCCTGCTTAATTAAAGTTTCCAACAACCCAGTCCCCTCCCCTGGCACCCGGTCGGGGCCTCCCTCCGATAACAGACGGTTGTGTGTCGGTGACTCCCTGGGGGCCCCGGAGGCCTGTGAGGTGAGTGGGAGCACAGCGCAGCTGGTGGCAGCGTGTGGGAGGGTGCAGTCAGGGTTCTGTGTCTGTGGTGCCCAGGGGTGGGGGCGGCGTGTGTGTATAAATCAATTGCGGGAACACTTGCAGAAATGCTGTAAACTACAGATAGTGTTCCAGTTTTCAGAACCACACTCAGGTGAACATGGCTTGTGCCGGAAGCCAATTCCAGCCTGTCAGCAGGGCTGAATCATCTGGAAATGGCTGAGGGCATTTCCCCAAACCTGAAAAGGATGCAGAAATGATTGCTGGCTGCCAGACAGCTGAGGGCATTTCAATCTACGTGTTATTGCCTCCTGCTGGCCAAACACCTGAACAGCCGTAGGCAGCTTCCCCCAATCTGACAATGGATTCTGTATACCAAACCCTGCCCTTTGATGTGTATACCTACCTTGCCTTAGGACAATTTGTGTGAATAAAAAGCAAGGGGTCCTGAGACAAGGAGAACTTAGTTCCTTTAGCTAAGTCTTCTCTGGCTCCCCAAAATGCCTTCCAAAATTATGTTTCGTCTCTGGACTCTTGATTAATTTACACACAGCACCTTCTCCAGATTCCTGAACCCTTCTAGATGCTGGATTAAGACCAGCAGCAGCTTGGATGCCAGGTAAAAATGCCAAAACCAAGCTTCCAGTATGTGCTTGAAAAAGAATCAATGTGGCCCTAGCCAGTTTGGCTCAGTGGATAGAGCATCAGCCTGGGGACTGTCCCGGGTTCGATTCCGGTCAAGGGCACATGCCCGGGTTGCAGGCTTGATCACCACTAGTGGGTGGAGCAGGAGGCAGCTGATCAATGATTCTCTCTTATTGATGTTTCCATCTTTCCCTCTCCCTTCCTCTCTAAAATCAATAAAAATATACTTTAAAAAAAAAGAATCAGTGGGCATGCTGCCTAACTTCCCCTTGGAGAGGCTTCGGAAGGGAGAGTGCCCAGTGGGACTCGGATGCACCAAACTGCACACCCACAGTGGCCTGGCTGTCCGAGGTAGGCTTGGCCTAGATCCCTCTCCTCTTTGGCTCTTTTGTGATGGTTACGCATCTCCTTAGGACAGCCTGCGTTCCCTTCCATCCTAGACTGTCTTGTGGCCTCCTTTTGTGAGTAGGGATGAGATCAGGGTCCCCTTTCCCCACGTGGTCTCTGCAATATTGACACTCATTCCCTTTCAAAACTGGACATCAGAAAGAACACCTGTAACTCTGAGCTGCGCCTCACCTGCCCAAATGTCAGCAACACCTGGGGCTTTTAAGCAGTGAGGGCAGCCCTAGCCGGCTTGGCTCAGTGGATAGAGTGTCAGCCTGCGGACTGAAGGGTCCCAGGTTCGCTTCCGGCCAAGGGCACATGCCTGAGTTGTAGGCTCGATCCCCAGTGGGGGGCGTGCAGGAGGCAGCCGATCGATGATTCTCTCCCATCATTGATGTTTCTATCTCTCTCTCTCATTCTCCCTTCCAATCTGAAATCAATCAATTAATATTTTTTTTTTTTAAAAAAGAACTGAGGGGCAGTGCTGTACAGCTTTTCCAGGACCATAATATCATCTGCAGCCCCGGAGGGCAAACACCAAAGCCCATTTCCTGCCTTCTCCTGACCTCTGCTGCTTATCACAGGGAATGGGTTCTAAGGGAGCCAGCTATGAGGGCATCCGGAAAGAATTTGCTGTGTTAAAGGGCTCATCTGGATCCACTTTGGTGAAGTGCAGCCAACATCAGGAAGTCAAGGAAGCCTCTCGATACCCTGAAAGTCATGTTATCTCTGTCTTATTACCTTAACCCACTGGCTCCAGGATGCCCCAAGCTATGGATAGGGCATGGTCAGCAGAATAATGGCCCCCCAAAGTGTTCACACTGTAATTCCAGAACCTGGGAATATGTTGCTTCACCTGACAACAGGCAGTTTGCTTCGGGGAAGAGCCTTTAGATGGGGAGACCATCCTGTTTTATCCTGGTGGGTCCAATCGAACCAAATGCTACCCCCCTGCAATCACATGAGTCTTCGAAAGGGAGACACTTTCAGGACCATGGGGAGGAAGAGATTCCGCCTGGAAGAAGGGGCGGAGATTCGGCATGAGAAGGACTCCACCCAATTGCTGGCTTTGAAGTTGGAGGAAGGAACCCTGCGCCCAGGAGTGCAGGTGGCCTCTAGGAACTGGAAAAGGAGAGGGAACAGACTTTCTGATAGAGCCTCCAGAGAGCTCTGCCAACACCGTGACTTGAGGCCAGTGAGACCTATGTCAGACTTCTGATCAACAGAACTAGGAGGTGAGAAACTTGTCTTTTTTGAGCCACTAAATTTGTAGTAATTTATTACAGCAGCAATAGATGAGTTTCCCGAACTGTAGAAGAGGCATGATGTAAAGGAAAGAACATGCTATTATGGGTAAAGAAGACAGCCCTGGCCACTGTAGGTGACTTTGGGCAAGTCACAAATTTCTATCTAAAATATGGGATTGTCTCAACAGTGTCTGACATAAATCACGGATGTGATTGATGCCGATATAGTAGGTGTAGATTTACCAAAAGCGTCTTTAGAAGTCTCGGTAACTTCAAGTCCCGAGGGAGAACCGTGCGCCATCTTATAGCACTATGAAGGAGATTGGCAGCCCTTTGATCACTGAAGCCAAAGTGTGTCCTAGGTCTCCAGTGACTTGCCCCAGGCCTCTCTTTGGTCCTGTCTTGAATGGTGATACAGAAAGCACATTCATAGATGCTGATGGTACGGAGCTAGTGTTATGCCCAGATTTCAAGATCCCCAACAGACCACCAGGGAGCCAGCCAAGTCCGATGCAAAAGCAGAGAGTCCTTTATTATTATTACAGACCCGGGTCTGGCTCCCAGCCTCTTCC